ACCTATGTTGTTTATTTATTATTTCTTGCCTATATCTTGTAATATGAGAAACTACTTTGGCAGTAACAATACACAATGTACTAACCATTGTTACTCTCCTAAAAAAAAAATGAAAATAAAAAAATAAAAGGAAAAAAATCACTGGGCAACTTTGGGCCTCCTGATACTAATTTCGCAAAGGTATAAACACACTTACTATTGTCCTAGCAGTCATATGCCAATCAGGCAACTGGACACCACCTGACCAAGCTCTTGTTTTCTTCCCTATGTTTTCCTCATTCCTGCTGCCATTTCTCCCTAGAGTACCCAAGATGCCAACAAATCCCTGTAGAAATTCTAACTTCCAATGTGACAGTATGGAGAAGTGGAGCCTTCCATAGGTGATTAGATCATGAAAATGGAGCCCTCATGAATGGAATTAGTATCCTTATAAAGGAAGCCACACAAAGCTGCCTTGTTCATTCTACCAAGAGAGGACATAGATAGAAGGCATCATCTATGAGGAAGGCCTCATCTGCCAGGGCATTCACCTTGCATTTTCCAGATTCCAGAGCTGTGAGAAATAAATTTCTATAGTTTATAAGGCACCTAGTCTAAGGTATTTCATCTCAGCAGTCTAAATGAAGTAAGGCCTATTCCAAAGGCAAATATTCATAAGAATGTTTCATGAGATACCATATAAAAGCTGACTTGTACCCAGAGCAATAGTTTTTAAAGTATTATCTTTAAATATACTATTCACACATTGAAGATAGTAATCTGTAATAGTAGGTTCATGCTTGGAGTGCCTGTCATTCTGGTCTTCTGAATACGGGCTGCTTGTCATGACATGCCAGTTGCTGCCGTGCTGTCTCTCGGGTAGATGATTGTTCAAAAAGGAGGGGGGTGGTGAATGAAGGCAGGAGACAGGAAAAGGAATGTTGTGGGACTGTCTGCTTCAAGGTTGTATATGGTTAGATGTTTGGACTTCTGTGTAAACGTAAGAATTATATAATTCTTCATTCCTATTTTTAAAACATATTCTAATTTTTAAATGTTTTTTCATCATATTCTGTAGGGACTTAAGGTTCAACATATCAATACTTGATGAAAAATACCTGTTCCATGTTATACCTAAGATTTTTGATATTCAGACAGATAGTGAGGTTAAGCTTAACAGCCTAGGTTGTATGCTAATAACAATAAGCTTCTCTTCTGGAGGGTTAACAACCTAAGTTTGCAGACCAAAATTAGAGAAAAAGGAGGGTCCAAAAGAAAACCAACATTTTGGCCCTAACCTTCCAAGGTCAATTAAGACTCAGGTCATATGAGAACTTGTACTGTAACATCATGTAACTTGGTAGTGTCCCAAATTTTCTGATCAAGGAGATTATGGGGCCAAAGAGGAAAGTGATCAATGATGTAGAGTGTGCCTAAGGATAGTCACATGGTGAGAAAACATTCTCTCAGGCTTTCACAGAGAGCACATTGGCCAAGTAATGGCTGTGACTCATCCATATGGCTGACACTGACAAAGGTTCTACAATCTGAGGTACAGGATCTCAGGATAAATTCTGAGGGGATTTCACTGACCTTATCAGACCCGAAAGCTACAACTCTTGTTGCATAAGTCCTGCTTTACCCTGGTCTTAACCATCCAGCAGAAAAGTATAAAAACGAAGTATAAGAAGTAAAGTCATGCTGTTATGTTGAGCTGTAGGGGACTCAGGTCAACAATTTCTGACATTGTCAGTCAGGCAGAAGACCCAATACTATTATAGGCTACTGGACTCTTTTAGAATATATTGCTGAGTTAACATACCTATAATATTCAAACAACAGAACTTAACGAAAAAAAGGGATACAGATGTATATCCATTTTGTATCTGTATATTCAAAATGTTTAGGATAGATATATAGTTACACTCTCTTAATAAATAGAGGGATTTGTTCTAATAGTGTTTGTAAATAGGATCTCAAGTCCGCATCTTGTACAGCAATTAACCACTAGGAAGAATGTATGCAATGTATTAATTATTGAAACTGTCCTACCAATTTAGTTTGAAACTGTCTCATTGCTATTTGTTTCTCAATAAAATTATCAAAAAATAAAAATAAAAAAATAAAAATGAATATTTTATTCACAGACACAACACTGAGGGGCAAGGAAAGTGTGTAGACTTCTAACTTCACAGACTTTCATTCAAGCCCATTTTTACCACTTGCTAGCTATAAGAACTTGAGCAAAATACTTATTCTCTTTGGTCCTCTATTTCCTCATCTACAAAGCACTCATAATACTGATTCTTGAGGATATGCTTCACAGGTAAAACCCTGGAAATTTAAGTACAATGTAGGTGTTTATTATCAAGTTAAAAATTTAAATGCATTCTTACCTCCTGCCATAAAATCTTAAGCCATGAATTCTGTCTTAACACTGAAAAAGAAATAGCTAGGTACTAATTGGAATTATTACATTAAGTAAAGTATGGAATAATTATAATATATTTTATCTCAAAATAAGATTTTTATAAAACTTTATCTTTGTTAACTTTATATATACTGCAACAGTATTTAAGTTGTATTCACAAGCATAACACTAAAATAAACAGCCTATATTAATATAATTAATATAATGACAGAGAGACAAAATCTATATTAAGCTACTTGCAGTTCTCAAAAGAAAAAGTTTGTAGATACATGCTAAAATACTGGTTAATGACCTAAAAAACGATATATTTCCAATCAGTTATAAGAACACATAACAAAACTAAGATTAGGAGAGAATATATAATACTCAGAATTTTTTATGGACATATCTGTAATATTCTTACTACTTTATCATTTTCATATTTTTTACCACTTCATTATAGTTAACATAATTATTAATTCTAGCATATAGAAACTGTATGTCTTGATTTTTGTTCCCTTTTACAGTATTTCTTCAAGTACTTTATGAAGTATCTTAATTATTATTGGTGAAATGCTATTTTCTCTAAAGAAACAGAACCAAAAATATATATGATTATATATAACCTCCATTCATGAATTTAATTACTTCTATGATTTTGGAAAAGATGGTCATGTTTTTATTTGTGTGAGAAAGATGACTACAGTTGTATTTGTCTCCTGATGCAGAATTTGCAAACAAAAACAAAATTCTGCCAAATGCTTCTGTTTGCAAACCAAATTGTTTGCAAACCAAGGCACTAATGAATAGAACCACTATATACATAAGTATCCAAGATTATTACATATATATGTAATATGTATATATGTAATAATATGTATATACGTAATATGTATATAATATATATATATATATATATCCCTGATTATATATGAATTGGATCACATGCTTATGGAGGCTTATCTATCCCAGGATCCTCAGAGGAAGTTGGCAAACTGAAGACACAGGAGATGATAATGCAGTTCCATTCTGAAGGTAGTTAAGTTAGAGATCCAGAAAGAGCCGTTAAATTCTAGTTTGTAGGTAAAAAGGCTAATGTTCCATTAAAATGTCATTACACAAAAACACTTTCTTACTCAGAGAAGGACTAAACCTTTTGCTTTGTTTGGTCCCTCATCTGCTTGGATGAAGACTAGCAACATCATGAAAGGTTACCTGCTTTGCTCAGTCTAGTGGTTCAAATATTAATCTCAGCTTTTGGCTTTTGGCTAGGAGGAAGCTAAAGTGCAACTTTCTTCATTCATCCCAAATCTGGGTTCATCCAACACCAGCCACCTTCAGCATGCCGCCGAAGATTGACCCCAATGAAATCAAAGTCGTGTACATGAGGTGCATCGGTGGTGAAGTCAGGGCCATGTCTGCCCACCCCCCAAGACTGGTCCCTTGAGTCTGTCTCCAAAGTGGGGATGACATCACCAAGGCAACTGGTGACTACAAGAGTCTGAGGATTATGGTGAAAGTGCCCATTCAGAGCAGACAGGCTCAGACTAAGGTGGTGCCTTCTGCCTCTGTCTTGATCATCAAAGCCCTCAAGGAGCCTCCAAGAGGCATAAAGGAGCAGAAAAATATTAAACACAGTGGAAATATTACTTTTGATGAGATTGTGAACATTGCCCGACAGATGTGGCACCTGTCTTTAGCTATAGAACTTTCCAGAACCATTAAAGAGATCCTAGGGACCGCCCACTCTGTGGGCTGCAATGTGGACAGCCGGCACCCTCATGACATCATGGATGCCATCAACAACAGCATTTTGAGTGCCTAGCTGACCAAGGAGCATAAGAAAAAACTTCAATAAAAAGATGAGCTGACAATCAGCAGTCTGCTTTCTTGAGGAACCTCGTTCCTTGTGGGGTGGTTAGTGGGACCATGGTGGCAGGACCTGTAAGCTACCCTAGGTGACAAACTTGTGAATAACGTTCTGCTCTGTATGGGATAAATTTGAGAAATAAACTGAAATAAACATTGCATATATATATATATATATATATATATATATATATATATATCTCAGGTCACAAATCTCACAAAAATGCACAGAAGAGTGTTAGACCAAATACAGAGGCATCCAATTACCCATCCAAATTGACATGTAGTTAGCCATCACAAGTCCACCCATACCATTTTGGGACCCATTTGCATCTCTTTAAACTCCATACAATGATAACAAAGCCATGATATCACCTAACAGGACACTATATCCTGAGTACAACCAGTATCTAGCTGTCTGGGGAATCAGTTCCACAGAAAGTAAGGTCCTTGAGTGATCTTTACTCATCACTATATTCTACAACTTAAAAACTATAATGTAAAATTTAAAATGATATAACATTAGAAGTCACGTGCACAACCAGCTGACTCCACGCCCGTGGATTTCACACCCTGGCCACAATCACCAACCAACTCTTGAGTCTACTCTGCAATTTGTTTCCCCTCAGCATGGAAGAACAGAGGTACCAACCAAATGACATGCCTGATCATATACAAGCCTTCAGGAGAGAAGGTAAAGAGATTACTGACAGGTCTCTGACTAGTGAAAAACTAATGGACCAAACCAGCAGTGTTAATCTCAAGAGAAACATACGGCTACTGCAAACTACAAAAATATCAGGCAATTATACTCTGAAAGTATTCCTTTTTAAAAAAAATTATTCAGTTTTATAAAACTAAACTTTGAAGTCTCTACAGAGTTGGCTTCTTTTTAATTTTTGTCTTTACATTAGTAGTTTAAGGATGATAAGAAAAGACAAAACTCTGTTCCGCATTTCTTATAGTAGAAAGGTTGAAAACATAGATTAAGGCTTTAGTTTAGCAGAACATATCACAATCCTGTTATCCTCAAATGAACAGTTTTCCAATTACTTCATTCCAAACCTGCTAGCATCATTTCTCCTCTGTGAGCTATTTATGGCTTGAAGCCTATAGTAGGCTAGAAGAGGAAAAGAAATCCAGTGTAGTGCCCACCACACAGAAGAGGGTTTAATCAAGAGCCAGGTGAAGGGTTGTTATAACAACCATGGGAAGAGTTGCTATAAGACTGAGCCACAGACCAACTTCACATTAGACTCTTGAGTATTACCCTACCGCAGTGACAAGGTGAGAGA